GTTTCAACGTTAAAGGGAGTGTTCCACATTTATACGGGGTTTTCATTACTGGCCATCTTGAAGACCTTTCGATGCTGTTCACAATCCTGCTCTTCTTCAGACCTAAGGTTCTCTAGTTTCTGAGCTTCCCAGCCGAAAAGATGGGGAAAGGTGTAGCCGTAGGAGTATTTCAAAGTCACCTTGACATTCATGACGTCACAACAACGTCATTCAAATCCTGCCATTCCAGAAGCCATGTGGCGACAAGGCGCATAGAGGAGCACATTCACTAAACAGATATTTGTGCTGTCTAGAGCAGTCTTCTCCGCTTGAAAGGTATACCATTAAAGACCAGTGAGGTTGTTTCATCATATCTAATGCATGCTTCACTACATTTCAAATGTAAAACATTCCCTTTCATGCTTTTTGTTGTTGTTGTTGTTTTTGGCCAAGCTTGTGATTTGCTGTAGCTTTACTGCGACTCTTGCGGAAAATCTTATTTACGGGTAGATCGGTTTGTGATAGTCTAAAACCGAACGCTTATCGCCAGGTCGCGAGAAGTACACGCGCCAATAGCATGGACAGCAACATAATTAGGATCCACCACTGCCGGGGACAGCTCTCACAAGCGAGGTGGGACGCCAAGGGTATCTTCCATGAGCCGAAGTTACCACAGCCTGGCCCTACAGACTATGACCCTAAGCAACCTGTAAATGATCATTTGGCTCGCTTCTTAAGCGTCAAGAAATGCATCACACACACGTCGTTTGGCGCATGACATGCCTATGTATCTATTTATCTATTTATATCTGTACACACACACACACACACACACACACACACACACACACACACACACACACACACACACACACACACACACACACACACACACACACACACACACACACACACGCACGCACGGACGCACGCACGCACGCACGGACGCACGCACGGACGCACGGACGCACGCACGCAGGCACGCACACGGATATATTTTACATATATACATATATATATAGACATGCATATATATATATATATATATATATATACATATATATATACAGACACAGACGCCGTTCGTTTCGTTGTAAGCGGATGGCCGAAGGACGCGATATCATATCAAAGTATCAGAGGTGCCGGTATGTATGCATGGACGAATGTAAATCATCAGAGGTTTCGACATCTTTTCATGAAAGAATGTAAATCGTGTCCGCGACCAAGGTCGATGCTTTGGTAAATGGTAATGCAAGCTAGTGAACACTGGCCGTGCGCTGTCGCCGCTCTCTAAAACCCGTGTCGCTTATGCCTACGAATAGAAATGGTAGTATTTGGGGTTTACGGGACGCGTCGACCGCGCGAGTCTGTCCGGTCAGCACCTCTGGCAAGTGGAGGGACCCGCGCGCGAGACCGGTCGGGCAGGTAACAACACCTTCTCCGAGGGAGCCGAGCATTAATTTATGTCCCCTATGCTGCCACACAGCATTGACATCTTCTGGCTGGGGAACAGATGCTTACTTCTAAGAGAGGATCTGGCGGCGGAACCAATGCACGCTTGATGGGAGCGCTGTATAATTTAGGTGGTTTTGAGCTGAAATCATTATTTAAAGATCGTTCGGTATAGTTCGCAACCCTTTTGTTCTTAAGACTTTGTGGTTTCTAAACTACACGCTCGCGAAATGTGCAGCCTTTTCGTGCAGGCTTCTTCAAGGTCATGCAGGCATGCGTGACGCCATACAAATGTGCTTTAAATTCTCCCACCCCAATGGGTATGCAGTGGTCAAGGTCAAGAAGAACAAAATCGCGGAGGCGTTCATATCTGGCGTTAGTGAGCACACTTTTAAATTGAAATGGACGTCCATTGGCTCTCAGACAATGCTTTGCGCGCGGTACAAGTTTCAACCACAAATCAGGTTTAATGCTGCATAATATGAGAAGTTGGATGTAAGTGTTGATTATTACGAAAGTAATCCTTGAATAGAATGATTTAATAAGAACCCCATAGCCGAATATGTGAATTCAAGAAAATGGTTCAAACTCACGGAAAATTTCCAAGCACACCACCGCCAAAAAAGCTACAATATGCCAGCCCCAAAAACAGAGTGCAACAATGTTTGGTTCAGCGAATGCCCGCAGCAACTCTTGAGAGAGGCCAACTCTTGAGAGGCCAACTCTTGAGAGAATAAAGTACTACAACTGAGTGTCAGGAAAGCAATTTCGGACGGCTAGTTTGTCAGCACCGCAGCTTCCCACAAACGTTCGATGACGCCGTAGAATAACATCGCATTGAGGTACGTATTGACTTTAACGAGAAATTGTGTTGTCAAGAGCAGTCTTTTCCACTTAAAAGCATGCCAATAGCTATAAGCGAGCTCAGTTTATCCCACCTGATACTTGCTTCAGGATTTCCAAATGTGGAACATTCGGTTAGGCTTGTTTCCACTTCTTAGCAGGGAGTTTCGCGATTTTTTGTTGTTTGGTGTTAACGTAAGGCTCTCTGTGTCTTTGGGTAGGGATAGAGCAAAGTGCAACACCTGTCCGCATATTCATGGGTGATGGATAAGAAAGGATAAGCTGGCAAACCCCTAAGTAGAAAAACACAACGGGAACGTGAAGCAAATTGACTCTCTTGTTCGAAACAGGTCGACTCGCTGCCAGGTGAGCTAGATATTCTGTTGTCCTGGCATCCTGGTTGCGATGCTGGCATGACTTCTCTAAAGTCCCGTCAGGGCTAACTGGGCTCTTTGAGTAGTGTTGATGTAGTGGGAAAATAAAAAGAAAGTTTATGAGCCTCATGAAGCAGTCCGACCATTGTCTTTTGAAGTGTCAAAGATAACTCTCCAGAAACTCTCCAGTCCAATGGATAGCACGATCCTCTTTGTAGAGTTCATCAAGCAGCTAAATAGGTAAAAATCGATAAAAATCTCCTTGAATATGCTGTTTCTGGAATCACTATGACGCCTTGTAGATGGTTGACCCTTTTGAGATCCCCTGATGTCGCTGTAGTCTGCCTCGGTGTTGAAGTGCAGCGGGTAGTGGGTTTTGTGAATTGTCTGCAGTTCGGATTTTTCACACCGTATAATCAGATCGGACCGGACTCCTGCAAACATAATAATGTATAACTGGGCATACTTATAACATCGTTGAGCCATCACTGCACACACGAAAGATTTCACTTTTGTCTCACGAGGGGCCTAACATCAGCCTCCCCGCAGAGGAGGGAAAACCAGCCTTAGTCTGAGAGGTATGAGAGTGCCGTTAGGTCAAAATCTAAGAACGCGCCTGTATTAAGCACATAAATGTGGAGTATTAAAGGGGCTGTTCCATCTTTGTGTGTGGTTTGAACTGAGATAGCCAAAAGAGATTCGTTTTATTTCAGGTTGCATGCAAGTGCTGTGGGCTCGGAAGTTAAGAAAATGCATGCAGTTATACGCTCCCGGGTGTTCGGTTAGATGCGAAAAGCTCGGGTGGACAATTTAATTTGACTTACCGAGATTTCAAAGACTTAGGAAGATAGCGACTCCAAATTCACAGAGTGGGCAAGGATGCATGCACTCCTACTCACATCAAATTACTAGCAGCCTTGGCGTGACCCAGCCTTGGTGTATGTGCGTGTGCGTGTGTGTGTGTGTGTGTGTGTGTGTGTGTGTGTGTGTGTGTGTATGTGTGTGTGTGTGTGTGTGTGTGTGTGTGTGTGTGTGTGCGCGCGCGCGCACTAAAAGGCCACACAATTAGAAATTAGCTAAGGTATGAACTGAGCGACCATTTTCTTCAAAAACCATGCCAATTGCTTGCATGTTTGCTATTTCGTACTGACGAGTCTGTAAAACAATATATTTTGGCTCTCTTTTTCTGCCTGATTTCTATAAAAAAACATTCATGGGCTATCTAGGCTACCCATATTCCTTTTGACACGCGTCCGAGTGGCCGATTGAATACCCTCCGCTCAGGTGGTGGTCAAGATGACTCACTGAGATCTCAAGAAGTAAGAGAGTGAGGGTCACCAAATTCACAAGGCGTGATAGCCTGAGCGTAAACACGCTTGTGTCAAAAATTGGGGTTCCCATGTGATAACCTCTTGGTCAAATAAGGTCAAACAAGGTCAAACTCCAGGTTGGTGTCCAAAGCGCCGCTAGACCTTCTCATGCAGCCACCGTGAGCCTAGATACCTGTTCTTAGGAAAAAGTTGCTGGTGCCCATTTAAGGTTAGACATCTTGCTTGGCCGTTGGGAGGTCATGGTGCCCAAAATTGTGCAAAACTGCTTTGATCTTTGTATTTGGATGGGCGTCAAGTATTACGCTTGTTTGAACTGGGTCAACCTGGGTCATCGTAGGTCAGGGACCTATACCGACCTCTATAAAAGCCATGGAAGATGCGCAGTGTGGTTCTTGTTATCAATACACTCAAATGAGCGCCGGAAAGTGCCCCACACAGCAAGCTCTGGAGTAAAACACCAGGTTGGTTTTGACCCAGGTCTGACCTCCATACCACACTATGCGTCAATGGAACCTGTTGATGCATTTGTTGTGCTGCCTAAAAAACTACCTCAGAGATGTATGGCTCTGTCTGATACTCTGTTGTTGCATCAGATTGAACGATGTTCGAACGATTTCCTAGAAATTGCCTTCGCTGAAACCGAGGCCTTACTTTGATCTGCTATAGGAAAACGATGCTACAAGGTGCTTCTACATCTTTGGTACCAAAAGATCCGTTACTGAATTGTCTGCAGCTGCGAAAAATTTGGTGCAGCTATGCATGAGTTCGAGCTGAGGGCTAAGAACAAACTGAAATGCTCATGGGACCGCACTGCGTGAGCTGGCGATAACCACTGGAGAGCCGGCCGAGTGCCGAGGGGGTGCTGCCTGAGGGCGACCTCGGCAGGCCGTACTTCCCTGATCTCACCAGCGATTAGTGCGGAGCAACACAGCAGCGCCAGACGGCAAGTGGGGCTGGCGCAAAGCTGTGGGCAGGCGACCAGAACGGTGAGTCATAGAGTGCTACAAAAGTGAGCTGACGGGTGGTGTCTGACCACTTTAGGACCATCAGCCCCGCCGCACGAACCACCTGCAGACATGAAGGCCGTAAGTACCAAGGATGCTCTGCCGCAGCCCTGCATAGTTTTGCCACAGTTGCAGGGAGGGCTTTGATACATTTTGAAAACGATTCAAAGTTGGGAAAAATTGCCATGTAGCTTCTTCCCCATAAGTATTAGGAATTACATAATACTTTCCCCATAATCACTTTCTCCGGCTGTTTTGTCATGCCAGGACGTTTATTGAGTAATGTTCTTAACTGAGAGCGACGCTAAAGTTGGTTAAAACGTTCAAGCATTCAATTTTCCAAAGCCCATGACTGTACCAATGTTACGTTGTGATTTTCAGTTTCGGCCTTGAATTTACCAGTCCAAGAAATTGTCAAAGCTAGGGTGCTTGGATATCTTATTTGTTTTTGTTTTTTTGTTTTTTTTCATAACAAATGCATTCCACATCACTGGATATTCGTATTTCTACGAAGCCAGACGAGGTTTCAGAGGAGGCTTGTTGTGTCGTGCAATGTTGCAATGGACATACTATTATGCACGCAACACGACTGCACTTGACATCTCGTATGTCCAACTTGTACGGCAGGTGATCGTGCTGTGCCTGATGGCGCTGGCGGTGGCCCGGGGCGACAAGAACGCCGAGATCCTGAGAAACGACTTCGAGCTCAATGCCGAAGACGGTTCCTACCAGAGCGAGTAAGCCTTAGTCCGCCAGGGCACACACTGGCGTGATAAGCAGGCGTGGTCTTGATCACATTGCATGAAGGAAGCAACAGCTAGGTGTCAATACCGAAATATGTTTTCGCGTTCAGCTGATACCCACAGCAACCACAAATTGAACAGAAAGTGACCATGTTCTCTGTGCAGTGAACACTGGAATACGAGATCCTGGTCGAGCTCGGTGAAATTTCAAGGCGGTGACAACAAAATTGTAGTGCATGTCGGCTGTCTGGTTTGACGTAACGGCGGGTCTACATTTAATAACTGCTAATGAGCATGCGTGTATCATTGGGGCTTTACGGCACACCCAGATCGGAGACTGTACGTTGTTGTCTGCCCCTCATCCTGGCAGGAAGGGCGGGCACTTGAGGTCTCCACGACCAATATTTGTTTCCACTCAATCCATCCCCCATCCATGGTACTGCGTCCATACCCACCCGCCGCCCATTCTTACTCAGTTTTGCTCATCATTTACGGGCCCGTTTGCATTTTTCTTGCACGTTGGTATGAAATTCTGGAAAAGTTCCCGAAAATCTTGCACTTAATTTCACTCTTTTCCGTTCGAAATTACCAAAGTAAAGTGAATGGAGATAATTATGATTAACATTGACGCAGGGAGTAATGCTACGCCGTATCACATGCATGATCTACTCGGCATTTTTAAACGTCTTAACCACATTTGTACCCGTACACATTATTTTCCCAAGAGCGATACCCAACCCAACACGTCAACGTTCCATGTGATTACCTACTGGCTTGTCCAGCCCGTGAAGCCCTCTAGCGGGCACCGCAGGGAATCGAACCCCGTACCCTTGGTTTTCCAGACGCGCAGCTTAAACTACAATATGCCTGTCATAAGCATGCATAATGTAGAGCTTAATGTAAGTATGAACGGCCTAAGCTCCTGGTTGTTTGGAATCACGTGAACTGTGATTTTTTCGTGTTGAAAATAATGGACCTTCCACATTGCAGGAGATATATATTTAGCGACGTCATCAGGTACGCACTGGTAGCATTGAGTAAGCTAAACGCTTCGAAGCTGTGCTCATCGTTGCGGGTGGCCGCTAGTGGCCATGTGCGTTGGCGATCTTTTTTCGGATGTTTTCGATCCTTCGTATGGCTGAGCAGGCTTTAAAAATATGTTCGTTTAAGACAAGGCCAAAAGCCGCCGTCATTGCACGAAGAACTAGTGAGTTCAGACATTTTGATAACGTTTCAGTAGACATCCACCATACCTGATGTACGTTTCAGTAGACTCTCACTATACATGAGGTACGTTGCATCAAGTGACACATCGTGCCGAAAAAACAACCGTTTGCAAGTCAATCATATCCAAACAAATATTAAACATTTTGCGTTGTGTTGTCTATAGGTATAGGTACTTTCGACTATTCTTTTAGTAAAAGTGTCTTCCCGGTCATAAACGTCGGTACAATAGGGCTTAAGTATTTACTATCCTACTCTGAATGTTTATGATAGGTAACACAGATTAAATATGCAGTTAATCGATTGCAATTAACCCTCGTAGCCGTCGCACTTTGTCAGGATGGTGGCATTGCATGCTACGTTTTCCCGCGTCAAACTGTCGTCATGACAGTCTATAAGGTGTCCCTATAGATAGCTACTTTGCGGGTGCATTGTCAAACATCTAACTAGGGATGCCGTTGTAAGGCCTTTATAGCATACTTTACGGGCTGCTCAGTCCCCGTGAGCGAATAACATTGGTATACTATGTTTGCCTTCACCAAGGGATCAGTATCCTCGTGAATGTTTTTACTTAAGCGCTATGGTGCCAGCTTACAGTCAGGATGAAAAGGCCATCCGAAGCATCGTTCTTCAGAACTGCAAGTCGTGACAACAGAAAAATGTAGTGCTTACCATCTTCTGTCAGCGCCCCAGAACGTCTCTTACGTACGGGTGAACAATGTTAAAATAGTGCATACGTTAACCTTTTTAGACTGTCATATAACTACGACTTTTGGGGATATCTTATGCGAGCATTCTTCTGAAACCCGCTCAGTCATACGCAAAATCGAAAACGTCCGAAAAAATTGCTAGCGCAGAGCTTGTCATACTTAATGAGCAATGCCCATAAAAAGCACAATAAAAATGAAATGTATATATATATATATATATATAACTAGGAATATCAATATATCAATATATATATATATATATATATATATATATAGATATAATTAAATACATTTAAGCCACCTACCATGAAAACGGAAAGTAAAATCTCCGCTGAAGATAAAAGGTGTACTGCTACGATCTGGTCCGCACTTTATAAAGTCAACTATTCTTCTAAATTATTCCGAAGTTTTTTATTAGACGGATGTCTGGACCGGCACTAGCACTGAGCAGTGTTTGTTGCGGAGCCCTGACGATGGTGAGATTTCGTGTCGGAGGCGAAATTTTGTGGCGAAAGCTTCACGTTCCGCAGTGCTCGGCTTAACCATCGTACCCTCTGACATTAGCTGGCTTGCAGAGCGGCCGCTGCAACCGACCCCAGTCTGTTCCAGTCGGAGGCAAACAGGGTGCGCCTAAAAGCGGCTGGAAGCGACCCCGGCACGGGTGCTGAATCGGAAGGCATGCGCGCGCTCTAACCCGCTCAGCTGCCGGACGGACGTGTGAACTGGATTCGTTGATGTGTGAAGCGATGCGAAGTAAAGAGGCTTGCGTGACACCCGTAAAGCAATTTAAAATCCTGCAGCCAGACAGTTTGGACTTAATCTGGCAGATCATAAGAAACATCTGTTAGCGACATCCGGTCTGGTCCTTTCTCTCACTCCAAGGCAACCGGTCACAATGCGATGACCTTCAGCTGACTTCATGGCTAGACAGTGTAAGACATTCCGACCTTGGTCGGGGATAGACAAGTTATGAATATGACAGGTAATCTACCAGTCATCAGGGACAGCTCCAAGCTGGTGTAGCGAGGGTGGCCCAAGTTTGCCGTTAAACAACCGTGCTAATTGTCGGTGCATGCAACTGCTGAGATTAATTTCCTAACTGATCCTTGTGGTAACCGGAGGCCGTAAGAGTTTCACGATAGGATGAACGATATTCTTTTTACCCTGGCCATGATTCGCCGTTTTTTTATAACGCGAACTGATAGGAGGTCGATGCAATCCGCCGTCCGGCCGTTGCCAGACCAAGACAGATAGAGCTTAGTGGAAAACGCCAGTGGATTTTATCAGCATGATTTTAAGATTGGTAAAAAATCAGGCTTCTGAGTCAATAATTACTAGGTCAAAGGTCAAATTTCCCCGAAAATCAAGCTTTTTCATCTTTACATGCTCAAATCTGTAAGACCATGCTTTGCAGCGACATCACACCAAAAACAGCCGTGTTTCTTGCTTAATTCTGAGTACAGTGTATTTTGACCATATGGTTATAATGTGTGAATCCCTTAGTGTAACAATGTCGACCCGCGGCGCGTGTTCCGCAGCATCTTTGGTTGTGGCCAGCCGCCCGGGCAGGCCGGAAGTTGGCGGGGTATTCCTCAAACCGCCGTCGCTCCGAAACCAGAAATGCTAGGGGCACCTTGTTTGTTGGTCGCCATTTGTTGCTGAAGACATTGTTTGCTGTTAAAACACCCGCGATGGATGTCTCATAGGTTCCTGAAAATTTGGGCGCAATTGCAAGACATGCCGAGGAGGGATCCCAAACAATCAGAGGGTTTGCATCGACCCCCATATCGGGGCGGCGGTTGAAAACAGAGCAGGCGACACAGCTGCGACCCGTGTTCGTCCTCCGCAACCTCCTGTCCAGATGTCTGCTTGTCTGCTAGTGTCCAGTGTCCAGTGTCTGTCTGCTGTCGTCGGGCCGCCAGCCCTGACTGAGCCGTGGCCCGCTCCATTGCAGCATGGAGTCCTCGAACGGAATCCGGATGCGCGCCAGCGGCATCTCGTACCCGGGCAACGAGCCGGAGACGGGCTCTTACTTCGTCGAGGGCGAGTACCAGTACACCGACCTCGAGGGCAACACGGTGCTCGTCAAGTACACCGCCGACGAGAACGGTTACAAGCCTGAGTCGGACATTCTGCCCTGAACCCGCTCCTCACGTTCCGTCCGTCCGGGCCGCGCTGGCTCGCGGGGCTTCCGGCTCGGACCGGCTCCTGAGCACGGCTCTCTCCGGCAGCTGTCTCAAGTCGCCGCTCGGACCGGCTCTGGGCACGGCTCGCTCCGGCAGCTGTCTCGAGTCACCGCTCCGACCGGCTCCGGGCACGGCTCGCTCCGGCAGCTGTCTCGAGTCGGTGCGCATCCTACGGCCGCCCTCCAACAGACCGCCGACAGGATGGCTGTCAAATACACGCCTTCTTCTTGTTACCGTGTTTTCGTGTGCTGGTCGTGAAGGCGAGGACGCCGCGAAGAGGGAGACATCATGAAAACGAGGCGCCGCCTTTCAGGCTTGGATAGAGCGCGATCATCTTTCGAATGCTGTGCGACGCATGCTTCAGGTACTGGACCATATTAGGGCCACATTTAGACAGGGTTAAGGAGCATTGTAAGATGCAGAGGGTAATATGCAGAGGTACTAAATGTAAGCATAATACTTTACGTAATAGTACCACATCCATTTTGGACTTTGAAATGCATTCATTTTGAAAAAGATATCGATTGGGGACGATAGTGAATCCAGATGTTACACGATCTCTATGCCGCTGCGCGGCATTGCACATTTCATATTATCTACCTCAAATAAGCTGCTATCACCATATGTTCATCCATATTTTTTATACGCAAGAACTTTATCAATGCTGCCAGATATAGCGAAATAAAGATATAGCATGGCCATATGTATGTGGAGAACAAAGTAGGGATGGAGGTAGTGCAATGTGACGTCACGCTGCAAATTCCCGGATTACGTCCACGCAAAATGCCGTGCCCGCTCCCCGGCCAGTCGCCATAAGGTCTATAATCGTCGATTATGAATACGTTGTAGAGTCACGTATTTCTGCTGAACGTCCTCCGCGCGCCGAATATGCCGGCGTGTGACTGGACGTCCGGCAGCCGGGAGTCAGCTGACAAACTGGACCAAAATAATTCGACCGAAATAACAGCAGTATGCAACCGTGCCGCCACACCCATGCCTTCCCTATGAGGGTGGCAATGCACTGACCAGCGTATTACGTAGATTCGCCTAAGACCTCACGTATCGTGTGAGGTTTTCAGACAATTCCACCAATCCTCTCTGGGCTGCTGGGAAAATGTTGTTGTGGCAGGTTTTGATTAGCCGAATGCTTCTGCATCTCTTAATTCGAATCCGAATGTCTGGTGCATAACGACATCAAAGCAAACACAATTGCACGTGGAGTCTTTTAAAGCCGAAGGTGTGACCATTTGTGATGCTCAGAGTGAGCATTTTTTCGTTTTTTGCAGTTTTAAAAGGACATTGGCTTGTATGGTCTGGCTATTGGCTATTGGCCTGGTGGTACATTGCATCCTGGTAGAATGTGACGCTGCTCAGCGTCACGTGTCACGCCTCACACGTGCGAATGTGTTGCGCCGGCTTCGCATTTTAAACGCGAAATTCGTAAAATGTGAAAATCGCCAGGTGAGGGACGAAAATTAGGCTTCCATCTTGGCGGCATGGAGGCACAGTGAGACAAAATCAGCACCTTTACATGCACTCTGCAAAGAACGAACTAGTGCACTAGCGAGAGCGCGGGTAGCACGCAGTAGCACACCTGCGCTTGCGCAAAAAAACAACGCGATTCTTGCGGTATGCGAGTGTTTTTCAGGATTGCTGCCAGATCCCAGCCGTCCAGGCAGATATTGTCTTGAAACTGACTGCACGATTTAGGTGCATGTTTGGTGCACAAACCAACCATGCGGCTCAAGACCGTCCAGCCCGTGGCGACGTCAGCCATTGATCGGAATCGACGAATGTCGCGTCTTTGGAAACTGATCTTGAATCCAGCACACTGTCGTTAAGCCGAGTGAGATGAAGGCATGCAAAGGGCACAGACGCGAAGCCTAATTCATGGTGACACTTCTCCACGTAAAATATGACTATGCATTTCGCAAAACATTGCTTCCATTAGACTAAAACGTGACCTGCTGCAAATTCGCCGATTTCTTCGGTGCAAAAAATCCCACACGTTCGTCGGCCTGCCGCCGCCTATAAGTAAGCTGCCCAATCATATGTTTCTGTCGAGGGCCTTCCGCGCAGCGGATATAATAAGACAAGCGTATGACATAGCATTCGGCAGCCGGGAGTCGCAGCGGTATGAAAGCAAATCGATTCCACCGAGACAAGAGCATGCGATTGTGCCGCAGTACGTTTGCGTTTCCAGCGGCGGATCCAGGGTCCCATGGTGGGGCACCCTGGAGTTTGGGGCTCCCTCCCAAAAATACCCTTGCATTTTGATCATAGCATTTTAAGATAATTCGTTCTTAATATATATATATATATATATATATATATATATATATATATATATATATATGTATATATATATTTCTCTCTCTCTCTCTCCTCCTCTCTCTCTCTCTCTCTCTCCTCGTCTCTCCTCTCTCTCTCTCTCTCTCTCTCTCTCTCTCTCTCTCTCTCTCTCTCTCTCTCTCTCTCTCTCCCTCTCTTCTTACTGTGCACAGCCCCATAAAGCATAGGCGTGCTACGCTTGCATACACATAGAGCTCACGCATTTTCTACAGATCATTTAAAATGCTATGATTTTGAGGCTAAGCGTATCGGAACTCGGAACAACAGTTAAAATAAACTTGAGTTAGCTGCTAACAACCATCAAAACCAAACATGGACTTGATTCCTAGCTTGTATTTGCGGCTAGCCGGCTGGGCGATGTAATCAGCTGATGGCTGATGACTAACGCAGAATTTTGCTTTGTTACTGAGGAATACAACGTATCAAAGCATTCAAAATATGTTAAGAACATAATGCCCTGGCATAATAAGTGTTACACACTCCATAGCCAATGGAAATAACACATACGACGTTGGCGGCATACAAAATTACGTTCGGCTATCGCGCGTAAAAATTCATCGGCGTATATCCGACTGCTGCTCTAAGGCGAATGCACCAAGGCTGATATGCAACGGAGGAACGGAAATGTAGAGGGCCCCCGAATGATCGAGTGTGCCCGAGCAGGTTAACAAATAAGGCTCCCAACAAGAGCGTAGGACCTTCCATCCTAATGGGAAACACCGAAGACCCAATAAAAAATAGCTCCAGAATGATGGAATGTGCCCTAGCAACTTATCAGAACGGGCCCGACAAGAGCGTAGGGCACTCCATTGAAGTAAGAAGTAGCCAAAGGGAGGGCCCCCGAAAGACGGAGCATACCCGAGCAGATTATAGGTGGCAAAGACAGGAGTGTAGGACCCTAAGTTCAAACAGCGAGACCCAATGAACAGGCCCCGAACAATCCAGTGTGGCCGAAGCGGCGAACAGATCGACAGGTTCTGACGGCGATCCTCAACAGTGCGTAGGGCCCTCCATTCATATAGGGAGTACCCAGCGCACAATGTGGAGGGCCTCCGGAAACTAGAATGTGCCCAAGCAGGTCAACAGATGGGGCCCCGGCAGGAGCGTGGGACCTTCCGTTCAAATATGAAATACCCGCGATACGATGTAGAGGACCCCGAATAATCGAGTGCGCCAGAGTAAGTTGACAGACAGGGCCTCCCGAAAAAGCGGAGGGCACTCCATTCAAAAAAGGAGCACCCAAAACCAGATATAGAGGTTCCCCGCGATCGAATGGGCGACAGCATCTTACCAGAAAAGGTCTCGACAGGAGCGTAATGCCTTCCATTAAAATAGTAAGTGCCCAACGGCCCGGTGCGGAGGGCCCCCGAAAGACGGATTGTACCAGAACAGGTTATCAGATGACCCGAATAGGAGCAGGGGGGCCATAAATTCGAACACCAAGAACCAATGTGCAGGGGCCCCGTGCAATCCGGTATGGCCGAGGAGGTGAACAGAGGAGACCCCCACAAGAGCGTAGGCCCCCCCCCCCCATTCAGAAAAGAAGTACCCAAGACCCAGTGTGGACGGTCCCCGAACGGCTGGGTGTGCCCAAGCAGGCTATCAGATGGGCCCCTGACAAGAGTGTAGGGTCCTGAGCAAATGACAGAAAATTGAAAACACCTTAGACCAATGTAGAGGCCCCATGAACATAACGCAAGTGTGTCGGCAGGTTAACTAAGACCTACGTAAAGGGGCCTCCGAGCAACCGAGAATACCCCGGCAGGTTAAGATATAGGACCCCGGGTATGGCTCACAGACTTTTTCTGACGAATGGAAAGAATATGTGGAAGGGCTCGTGATTGACAAAAGTGCCCCAGCACGCTAACAGGAAGGACCCCCACTAAAGCTCAGGGCCCACCGAGCGAATGCAAAGAAATGAACGGCAGCGTGGAATCCTTCACGATCGAAAGTAACTTGCAAGTGGGCATATAGGTGCCCCGGAAACGGCAGGGCCCATAACAGTGTACTGAAGCTTAAAATTTCCAATTCACGACTTTTCCAATCATTGTTTTTTATTGCTTCTCATAGGCCCTTTAGTTTCACTTATATCTGTTCTCGGTCGCCTGAAAGTCCAAAGATTCTCAGTTTTGTTTTTTTGTGTTAAAAAACTGCACCTGTTCGGCCGGCCATCTTCGGCCCCTTCGGAGCCAATGGGCCCCGAAGGGGCCCAAGGGGGATCATGGCCCTGTGCTCCGCCCCCCTTTGGATCCGCATCAGTGCGTTCCTGCCTGCACATGGCGTTGAATTGCTGAGTGCAATGAATAAATTGGTCACTTGTCTCGCCTATGATTTGACATTAACATCAGTTTAAAGGCAATGTTTCACATTTGAAGATATTTGAGCGAACATCGCACATCATGAAATAGACCTACTTGTAACTATTGTTATGCTTCTATGCGGAAAAGACCGCTCCTGCGCCATAAAAAATATGTATTCAGCAAAGATGGTCCTCAATACGTCATTGTTGCATTGCGTCACGGAGCGTTTGCACGGTAGCACTCAATTGTAGTTTTCAGCCTCCCGAGAGATGGCAGCACCAGCTGGAAGTGTTCGCTGAGCCCAAATAACGCTGTGTGCTCGCGTTTTGGCCGTTTCTCGCGGTGTACTTGCATATCTGTCCGTGAGTTTAAGATGTCTACTTCTATTCATTTTTTCGTCTATAGCCTATTCTCATGGTTTTTGACCAAAGTCCTAAATCCAGAACCACTGGGAAGAATCTATAACTTCTTGTATCATGTAGTACCAAACATAAGTTTCGATTAAAAGTTGCACAACCTGCACAGCATTGATTAGCTTAATTGACGTTCATGGTATTTTTAAAACGTGCTCAC